TTTTTTAATAAAATGGAGTAGTACTCAGCCATAAAAAATGAGAAATTAGAGACATTTATAGCTAAGTGGATGCACATTGAGGCCATACTCTTAAGTAAAATTAATTGGACATGTGTAAATACTGAATGGTTTCTCTACTGTGAGAAACTGAATGTGTAAATAAGGATTAAAATGTATAGTAGATAATGTGCAATAGGAAGGAAAGGGGTAAAGGGGAAAAGGAAGTGGGAAGGATAGGGGAAAGGAAAGAAGGGAATTAAATTAATATGAGAAAATGTAAAAACGGAAACAAAGTCTTTGTAAATACAGAGTGATGGAGGGGTTGAAGGGAGGGCAGGGAAATGGGGAAAAATAAGAACCAAAAGAAATTATGTAAAGGTGCATATTTCCAATGATGAATGTCATTATAATGTATACCTAAAATGTACAAATAAAATAATATATTTTTTAAAATGTCGTTTATTTCCTTCCTGCAAGTCTTCATCCAGCCTGGTCTTTCTCATTCTCAGGTGTGTCTGCCTCATCAGACAGAGACTGTCTTTCTCCTCACAGAGCATGTTTAGTTAAACCCACTATGACCCTTTAATGTTCAAAGAGGCGATAAAGATTTTTCCATGAACTATGAGGTTTCTGCTTCCGGCCACTATTTCATCACATAAAATCATTCATGTCCCCCAAAATCATATGAACAGATGTAGGATTAGTAACCTTTTATAATGCCACACGAAGACTGAAAATGACTGGTTATATGCCATTTAATGATAGGTTCATGTTTTAAAAAATTCATTAGGTGATACTACTGTTGTGCTGACATTCTAGAACATACTTAATACAAACTAGGATGGCTAAAATGTCATTACTAATATATTTCTGATACAGGGCATATGATCTATGAATGATATAAGACCTCCAAATAATCCAAATAATCCAAATAATATAAGGGAAATATTATAACTCTCACCTGCTAGATGTTCAGACATGCTGAGTTTGTGTTCTCTAAAACTGAAAAATGAATTCTAGGAACAATGGAGATTAAGAGTAGGAAGAACTTATTGAGAGAAAGACAGCTTCTGTCTAAGAGAGAAAGAAGGGGGTCTGGAGATTGGGCTGCTTTCCCACTCCATTTCTCAAAGGTGTTTTTTGGAGCAAAACCACTAGGTGAGGTGAGTACAAGGTGGGACAAAACTACAGTCAACTAATAAGATTACAAGTATGGTCACTTAGGTAATATTGGTCCAATGGGAAATCACAAGATGGGACAAAACTATGATCAACCAATAAGATTACAACAAGTGTAGTTGCTTAGGTACTACTGATTAAATGCAGATCAAATGGGGAAGCTAGTCATGTAGCAAGAGTACAAAGAACATATAAGGATTTCAGGAAGGAATGGGCTAGGGAGGTTTTGGTCCCCACCCAAGGTGATTGATGCCTATTTAGAATATCAATATCTGCTGTTCATCCCTAGGGGAAGTATGTGAGCATAGTGGTTCCTCTTTTTTGAATCTTGGCCTTCAGTAATGGTCCTCAATTTTTCCCCCATTGACTCACTGGAGGTCTCAGCCCTGTCTGTAATATATCCAGCTAACTTAGCTGACTACAATATTTCTTGGTACCACCATCATATATGTAGTCTGTCTGAGACCCAAATCTCATTTTGGGGCACATGACTGTGTTACTATCACCAACTCTTTCACCCCAAAAGGATGAAAGAGAGTCTCTGTATTGAATGCATTTATAAGTTCCACCATAAGCTCCTGACCTGTACCTAGCTATGATGTCCCCAGCACGAGCACCTCAAAAATAAAAATGTATCTCCTGAAAAGCTGCTGGTTGGGTTCTCAAATATTTTTTTAAAAGCTGACAGACTTTTATTATTGATTTGAGCAATATACGTCATCAATTATAAAGCATGAGGATAAAGTATGAAAAAGCATTCAGAAAATAGTTGCAAAAGTCATTAGGAATTAAAATATAGCCAAATCAGAACACTGTCCTTTCCTCTCTGTTCCAGGTACATGGCCATCATCCACCCCCTGCAGCCCCGGCTATCATCCACAGCCACCAGAGTGGTCATTTGTGTTATCTGGGTCCTGGCCCTCCTGCTGGCCTTCCCCCAGGGCTACTACTCAACCACCGAGACCATGCCTGGCCGAGTCGTGTGCATGATCGAGTGGCCTGAGCATCCTGACAAGATTTATGAGAAAGTGTGAGTAGAAACTTATCCCTGTTTGGAAGCTGCTGTGTGGCAAGGGCCTTCCTTGCCCTTTCTTGTTCCTGCTTTCTTTCCATAGTCTCCATCAGTTAGGATTTAAAGTGTATTTCTAAGCATTTCTCCACACCCACCCTGATATCAGGTTGATGTGTCCACAGTTATCAGGAGATTATTATACCTTAATTATTATTCTGGGCTTTGAAAGAGAATCAAGAACTGTGAGACCTGCACTCTATTGGAGGAGATCCTCTGCCCCAGTCAGAGATCCTCTGACTGCCTGTCCTTCAGGAAGGCCCTTGGCAAAATATTTCCCTGCCAGTATCTGCAGTTTTTCTCCTGGGACGTTTGTCTTAAATCACAGATAGCCACTCTGTCCACCTGCAAAGTGTCTCAGGAGGGGCATGTCTCTTGGGTTTGTGCTTTACACAGTGTTCAAGTTTCTTCCTGAGATTCAGCTCCAGAAGCCCAGGGTAGCTAGTTCCACAGCATAAGTGTGATGAGCCACCATCCCTTCCCTGTACCACTGCCCTCCTCCCTACAATCTTTCTTCTCTCAAATAAGGTACTTGAACTTAAATCTTTATCTCAGATTCTGCCTTTGGCGAAAACACCTACCTTCCAGTATTTTTTAGTGTAAAAAATAAGACAATACATGTGAAATGCATGGTGACACAAGGCCAGTGCACTAAGACCTTAGGAGTTACAAAACACCTAAGGGGCAGGCCTGCTTATCTTCCAAAGAGGAGCTGGTCACAATGAGGGCTTTTCAAAGTATCTTGACAATTTTCTCTAATACTTCTTATCCTAGCAGCAACACTGAAATGGCTTATTCTTTACTTTGTTCTGCTCAAGTGACATTTATATTACCTCTAGTTTTCTAGACTCAGCACATGGATAAAATGGGTCTTTCTGCAAGTCTTCTATAATTCCCCAATCTTGGGTTTATTATGTGAATCATAAAACAACTGTAATGTTAGAGTCAGATAATCTGAGTTTTAATTATTAGATTGCCACAAGCCATGCGACCCTGGGAAAGGATCACAGTCTCTTCTCCTTACTAAATGAAGATAATAAAGCTCTACTTCCTATGAACAATTGTTATGAAGATAAAATGAAATCACATATTCTCACCTCGTAAGTTATTAAATGCCATCCAAAAGTTGTGAACCAAATTAATTGGATAACAGTATAATTGCGTAGCATTTAAATTTATTAAATGTTAAAATGAGACACTATACCTGTCATGCCTCCAAGATTTGATAATCTGAGAGTCTGTCTGTCACACACAGAGTTATACTGCCACATCTGTTCCTTGGAGTATGGAAATGTGGCTTGCCAGGAAGCAATACATAAAGCTCAGACATCGCCTTCCAGACACAGACAGTGGGGTTTAATCGATCAAGCAGTGGGGGGATTAATGCTCAACCTAGAAGGAGTCATTGAAAATTATTCTTCCAAGTAAAACTACAAGCCTGAACAAGATCTCAGAGAGAGAAAAAACACAGTTTTACAAGTTGAACAGGATCTGTAAACATGATCAAGCCAGAAGCTTTCCTCAAAAGGGGAAAAATAAAACACCTCTGAATTAAAATTCCTTACATAAATTGCTTCAGAATCCTCCATAGATAATATGGCCTGTGGCTCTGTTCTTAGTTCTCATGATCTCAGACTTTTCAAAGTCTGATCAGCTTTCTACAATTTTCATCTTAAAATATTCATCACTCTTTTGTCTTATAACAAATTCAAAGTTTAACTTGGAAATAGATTTGTTTTCCCAAAGATCTCTGGGGTTTTAGCCAGGAAATACTGATGTTTGGAGTCATAATGAGGCAGGAGAGTAGAGAATAGCAAAACTGGCTAAGGAAGTAGGCATAACCTGTTAATTACAAAATCCCAGGACTTGTGGGCAGAACAGTTCCCTAAGCCCTGCACGTGGACTTCACACAGGTTTTTGATAGGATGCCCTAGACCTGACATCACCCTGAAGAGTGGGTGATACAAAAAGGGCAGTCCACTTGAGCTGTTCACTGCTGTGCTCCCTCATAGGAGCTTGCTCTTGTCCTATAGAGCATACTTATTTTCCTGCTTTTACTTGGCCCAAATACCCTCAGCAGGGCCCGCTTCTTTTCCTTCCTTTAATAAATATAAAACCTTGGGCCAGGGATTTAGCTCAGTGGCACTGTGCCTGCCTGGCAAGCACAAGGTCCTGAGTTCAATCCTCCTTGATACCATAAATAAATAAATAAATAAATAAATAAATAAATAAATAAATAAAACCTTACTATCATTTGTGTTTGTCCTGACCAATCCTTTGTTCAGGACGGAAAGAACCTGGAAACCACCTCTAAAAGGAAACTCAAGCACTCTAAAACCCAATAACAATATTTTTGAACATTTTGGTAGTCTACAATTATTAATGACTACAAAAATCCCTTTGAGACCTAACAGTGTTTATTTTATTAACCTAACCTAAAAAACAAGTCTTGGGCCAGGGATTTAGCTCAGTGGTTCCACCGCCTGCCTTGCAAGCACAAGGACCCAAGTTCGATCCCTGGTACCAAAAAAAAAAAAAAACAAGTCTGGCTCATGAGCACGTTCTATCCATTCAAAACATATAACTTGTTCATTGATACAATAGTAATTCCAAAGAGTCTATACTTGCCATTCACATATTGCCTGTGATATAAACATAGGTGAAGTACATAGAAAAACTTTATTCAACTGTATTTTCTTTTTGTTAGTATTTTTCACAATGCATTGTGCTATGTTTTTAGGGAATGTAAATTTTACCATGTCTAAGCCAATTATATTCTTGTCTTTTAGAGCTAATGATTATCAAAGTGCTCAGCCCAATATCCTGCATGTGGTAAGGTCTGGTGAATGTTAACTATTGATGCTAGCTTCACTCATTCATCTGAATCCACAAGTAAATGACTGGTAGGTCTTGGGCTCAATTTGTCTGATGGATAATTTGTGCCAGCTTATTACATAAAAGCATTTTGTGAAAATTCATAGATTACTACAAATGCCTTCTGGTCATATAGTAAGCCTCCAATCCTGATCATTCATCATTCAAATTCTTCATTAATACATGAATTAAATGAAGTATTATGAAAGTCAGGACATCCAATAAAAGAATAGGCAAAATCATGCACCTAACACACACACACACACACTCACACACCCACACACACATAAATGATCATAGGAAGAGTCACATAACTGTATTTGTCACCAGCAAAATGCAAATTAAAACTACAGTGAGACCTTTCTACACACCATTAGACTAGCAAAAGAAGTCTGACAAAACTAAATGTTTCAAGCTTTTGGTGATGATGTCAAGCACATTAGAAAATACTTTTACAGTATCTAGAAAAGGAAGAGCTATAAGAAGCCTGTAACTCAGAGCTAAATTACCTCGAGAATTTACCTAGAGAAATTCATGCACATTTGCATTCAAATACATCTACCATACTCCTCATATCACTAATATCCTTAATGCCCTAAACTGGAAATATTTCAGATGTTCATCAACATAGAATCGACAAAAAATTGTGGTACAACCATGTAATAGAATAGTATATGGCTAATAAAATGTAGCTCTGCACACACTCATGGCTATTATAAATAAAGCTCTAGAAAAAACAAAATGAAATGACATTTTTGAAATACATAAGTAGGTGACAAAACTACAAATGTAAGCAAGGAAGTGTCACCATGGAAGAGAGGACCATAGTTCTCCTCCCTCTCAAGGGAGGAAAAGTGATATGACCAGGAAGGGATACTTAGGATGCTCTGAGAGGGTGGTATGGTTATATTTCTTCAGCTTAGAGATTGTAGCACAAATGTTTGCTTAAAAATTATTCATGATACCAGATAATTTGACTCACATACTCTGGAATATATATTTCATTTTGTCAACTTAAATACTATACAAAGCCTTTAGTTTTCACAAGCTAGCATTTGGATAATCCCCCAAATTCTTCCAGAACAAACTGTCTTCTGATGTGTGGTCTTTTCTTGGGATGAAACTTTTCCTAGGAACTTATCTATGAGTAAGTAACACATGCGCAGCCCTTACCCCATCCTGACAAAAACTTGACCTTTTGCACTTTGCCTGCTGACTCCTGTGCATCAGTTCATCCAGAATTTTCCCAACTGGTATAAGGAAGAATAAGGTAAATGCTTGGCCCCGGAGAGATGTGGCAAATATTAAGCCCAAGAACAGAGCGCATACAGCCAGGGCTCACATCCCTTGCTGCTGTTATGTTTATAGGCAGATTCCTCGAGATCACAGAAATCTGCAGAGGCACTTGATTCACCTTTCTGGAAAGTAATTTATAAATTTATTTTGCATTTAAAAATATGAGCATGCTATAGAATATAATGAAAATTCCCATGACTTCTTTAATCACTCATATTCTCATTATTTACTAACATTTTGGTTACTATTTTTCCAATTAAATACTGTTCTTAGTTTCTTTTCAAGTGGCACATATATGGAAGCCAACACAAATGCAGATTTTTTCCCTCATTGCAATACAGAACATAGCATATTGTACATGCTGTTCTCTTGTTTTAACTTAACAGTATGTCCTGAAGACGTTTCTGTATTCACTCATAAGATCTTCTCTATTCTTATTTCAGCTACACAGCATTCCATTTTTTTTGATGTAGAATATTATTTTAGCACTCACTAACTGGTGGACTATGGATTGTCTCCAACCTTTTGCTATTATAGAATGTGACCATTAATAATTTTTACACCTATCTTGCAATGTTATCTATAGCATAAATTCCAAAAAGGGGAATATGTCATTTTGGTTTTTGCCCTCCATACAGAATTATACTAAATTTCATTTCAAACAGCAATGTGTAAGAGGGCCTAGTTCTCTACAGCCTCAGCAACAAAGTGTATATTATGAAGTTTTTAGATATTTGCCCATCTGAGGAGAAAAAATGGCATCTCGTTATAACTAAAGTTTCTATTTCTCT